GAAATGAGCCGTGGAAAAACTAGGCTGCAACAAAAACGTGATGCATCAGCAGATTCCTTCCTACTCACGAGCGCCCCCTCTGGTGGGGAAACTTTTTTTCAGGGATACAAACTTTTTCATAACACCGGTAGACGGCAGCCATTACAGACGAACATGTGTTTGTTGTTGTTCGAGGAGTGGCTCGGTCACACACTAATGTCATTAGTTTGTTATCATTACTAAAGTACAGGAATACTTTTTCCTCCTTTTTCCACATCATGTCGCCTGCCTGGATCTGTTATTATCTCGCTCTGAAGCACGAAGGAGTGTCAGAGGCATGTTCGCTTCAACTGCTTTTTATGTCGTCGTCTCATTTCCGGACGCATGAATGAAGCCGATATTTCAGTTAAAATACATAAGTAAAAATATTTATCCGAGTATAGTACTACCCCCCAACTTTATGGATGATTTTATGGATTTAATCTTACGTATTATACTTGAATAAATACGGTATATGAATCAATCTGCTAACCCCCACCTCTGATGTAAAAATCAGATGAAAAGAGACACGAGTGTTCTTTGAAAACCAGATATGTCTCAACTTATCCTGAAAAGGCCTGGGTTGGATTTAAAAATATCAGTTATATCAGTTTATGTCTGTGTGTATATACTGACAATATTTATGAATGTAGGCATGTATGTATGTATATCTTTATATTTGTATGGGAATGTGTATATATTTTTATATGCCCTCCATGTATTTATCCATTTATTTTTCAGGTGAGCGGACAGATGTTGGGTGTGTGGTCCTGTGTTTTTTTGCTGTATATTTAATATACTTCTAATCTCTATTTCAATCTTTCTAATTACTTCACTCTCTGTTTTTCTCTCTCTCTATTTTCTCTTCACTTAAAAAAAGTTACTGATGAAGAAATAAATAAACTAAATAAACTAATAATATTTGATTTCGTTTTCTACTGAAGTGACAAAAAAAATCAGTTARTTTTATATTTACATGTCTTTATCCTTTCTGTTAACCGAGGCAATCAACAGCTGAAAAGATGTAAGGAAAATAAATAAAAACAAATACATAAATAAAAACTTTAATCCATCATGGAAATAACAGAAAGACTAAATCTTGTTTAGGTGGATGTAACTCGAATGTTGGGGAAATGAAAAATACTGTGCGGTGATGTCATTAAGCCCCGCCCCCCAGTGGTGCTGTCCCTTATTTTGGAGGGGCTGAGTTGGCAATCCTGAGACAAAGTAAAGTGGACTGGAAATTATGCTCAAAATTTGATTAAACATCTAAAACATACAACAAAACACCGAGTTCAATCTGTCACTTACACGCCACCACAGCAGGTGAGCGGTTCTTCTTTGCGTTGCCGTTTTTCAGGCCGACYGTGCTGGCGTTGGGTTCAGCCTGGTACACACACAACGCCTCCCACTCCTTCTCCAGACGGTCCTTGTTCTTCAGGTGATCCTCCATGTAAGACTGAAAAATAAAACGAGGAGACATCTTGACTTTTGCTCACCCAAGAGAGTTTTATACAAGACGACTCAGTATGGGTTCATTTTTGGGTCAAACTTGTCCATATTTACCTTAATTACAGGACACAATTTAATTTGTCATCTTGAAACAAGTAAATCTGTCATTTAAGCAACAAAAAGATATTTTTATTTGAATGTTTGAAACAGGTAATTATACTGTCATAGTGAGACAGTTCAACCAAAGCCCCACTTTTATCTGTGATTMTCAATCAGTTTCTAAACTTAATGTTGTGACGTGAATCTCCTTCAAAATGAAAAGTCAAAGATAATATATTTATATTAAAGAAAATTGGTATAATATACACGATTTTACACTTTTTGTGTACATAACTGGCATATTTTCTTTGTAATTTGACCAAGATGAATTGTAACAGGAAGTGACATCATGAGAGTATTATTTAGGAAAAGGGAACTCCCTAGTGTTTATTTATTGAAAGAATATTATTTGAACTCTGACTCTTCTTCATCTCTCCTTGAAAGTGACTCAAAATGGTCTAAAGAACATCAGATTCTTGTCTAGCACTYCTCTGTTCACACGAGGACATTACTCTCATGACATCACTTCCTGTCACTTCACATGCTTATAATTCATCAATTGTTCATCTCAGCAGCATGAATTTTTTTTTGCAATATGTCATCATAGTTATCCTTCCAAAAATGCTTTCGTATTTATAGCAAAAATTTGATGTCACAGGCACCACACCGTTTGTTGTTTTGCTTTGGTTTAAATCATCCATTAGAGGCAATAAATCGAAAAATCCAAGATATTACGAGATAATCTGAAAGACTCTCATTAGAAGAACTGAATTATATGAGCTTCTCATTCAAACCCTTCAGTTTTTAAACCTTATCAACCCCTTTTTMTATTAGCTTCTCTGAGAAGATTTAAACAAAAGTAACAAATCATTTGGACACACCATTAACCCCATATCTAAATGCCTACATGCATAATTTCTTCAGTTTATTAGATGCACCAGTGTCGCTTTAATCASACTGTGCCTGTCTAATCGAGCCCGTTTCCTCCTCGCCATCACCTACATTCAGCCAGTTCTCATAATTAAAGAAGGCAAGGTGACTTTGAGCAATTGCCTTTGAATTAACTTGGCGTGAGCCCACCGTGAGTGGAAAAGACATTGCTGGTCACATCCGACGGTGAAGGAGGGTGCAGCCTTGTTTTTAGCCRGTGCATACAAAATATGGACAATGGTCTGTAATAGATGAGGGACCAAAACGAGGTGGTGTGGTTCCTTAAATGGCTCCAGCGATGATTTATGGTGACAGTTACAAATGTGAGGGGGGCTTATCTTAATCGGAATTAGCTTCCAAAAAAGGCCTAATGGCTTTCTGCTAAAATGAAATGAATTTGTTAAAGAAGGAAAAGACATTTAGCTGGTGGAAGATGAAGAAAAAGAGTAAGAAATTGCTTTTGTGTGACTTTATCGTACGCACGATCAACAGCTCAAAGTGATCKGTTCTCATGTGCAGGTTTCACCTCATTTCGGCTGGAATACCACACAGACGGAGTGTAACACTAGCCTTTTCTTCCCGTAGTACCGGCTCTCCATTATATTTGTCTGAGAGTAGCTAAAAGCAGCAATGATGTAACAGGAGGTCGGTTGGTGCAACCCTCCACCTGCACACGGCCATTTATCAACGGCAGGAGGTCCGATCCATCAAAAGATACACATAAAGCAAATGCACAGGCTCACATCTGAAGCACAAACCACATACGGGCTTTCAGAAGGTCAGAAATACAAAGAAGTACACCCACACAAAAGACCAACACAAAAAAACATCACAAATCCAGACTGAAATATACTACAAACAATTAAAAAAATGCATATATCCCACAGAAAAAAAACATGCAGTGTCCAAATTGGGTGCCCCCCGTCGACCTCTGCACCCCACCCACTCTCTTCGTCTCTAATGCCAGAGTAATAGGGTTTTGTGGCTGTGTAAAGGGATTATTGCAATCCAATCAGGAGGTGCTGAGATCACCATGTGTCGGCCAAACACTGAATAATCCCCTTACCGCGGGGGGGTTTACAGCTGCCAAAGGTGCTCAATAAAACTTGCTTTGCAATAAGACTGTGGCGGAGCTGCCATTGTGGCTCTGACGCACCTGTAGGAAGGAGCACATCAAAACTGGCCACATGGGACGTGACATAATGCAGCAGCCATTTTGGACRGACTGAGACTGGGGAAGAAAGGGGAAGTGGGTGGAGGACAGCGCGGTGGGACGCTGGTCCTCAGCAGGGACAGGCGGTAGAAAGTAGCCTCAAACATTCATGAAATACTTATTAAAGCCTCTGAAAGACAAAAGCAGGGTGATGATTTTATCCACGTCTGTCAGTTTGTTACTAAATTATCTTTATTTAAAGCAACTCAGCCCAATTCAAGATGGCTGCCACAGACAGCTGGCCTTCAAACAAAACACTGCTACTAGGGCGGGGTAAAATAAAAACAATTTAATCAATCTTTGATTGATTTCATTTACATTTGGGAAAATAATTCAGAGCATGAGATGAATTTTTGAACTGAATCGTAACAAATCGATTCAGAACCTTGTAAATCGATGAATCGATTTAGAGAATTGGGCACAATACCCATCCCTGATAGTTACAATTCACCCAGTTCTGCAGATACTGGCTGTGTCTAAAACGGTGGGCCGGGTCCCCCGAAGAACCCAGTCTACCCAGTCTCAGTGGACTAGGTCCTTGGTAGAGTGGGAAAGAAAAAAAAAGACTGGGAAGACCGGAAAAAAGTAGCTGTGAATTTGGACGGTCTAGCCTCCTGTCCTTACCCCGGCGTACGTCCAGTCGCCTAGCAACCATGACGATGCAAAACAGAAGCAAAATTAGATCAAAATTAGAAAAATATCAATTTGTTCGCGTTATTAATGTCACAAAACAGTAAAATTAACTTGAAGAACTAATGGCCCCGCCGTAGGTGCATGTTTATTTCTCTAAACCAGTTTCTTTTATTTCTGACAAAAATAATATTTAAAAACATGTCCATACAAATGATAAAAGTATTAGAATTACAACCGCTAGAAAATTTAATTTTTATATCACCACATTTTTATTTAAAACGTATTCTTTTTTCTCGCTTCGTCCGCCATTACTAGCATAAAAAAAGGCCTCAATGCATTATGGGATATGCTGGTCCGGGAAGAATCCCTCGGACCAGTCCTTCAATTCGGGCCAAAGGA